TGATATTATCGCTAGTACTAGTATTGACATTATTATCAATATTATTTCCAATACTATTATTAACATTGTCATTAGTATTATCATTAACATCACTATTTTTAATACTATTTTTAATGTCATTATTAATGTTATTATTAATGTTATTACCAGTATTATCATTGTTATTATCGTCATTATTACCTTTATTATTATCACCATTATTACACTGTTATAATTATCACCACCATTATTACTACAATTATTATTCATATCAATATTATTATTATCATCATAATTGCTATCACTACTGTTGTCACTATCATTATCACCATTATCACCACTATTAACATTGTTATTACCATTATTATCACTATCACTATTATTATTATTATCATTATTACTATCATTACTATTGCCATCATTATTATTACTATTATTACTATTGTAACTGTTATCTAGTCACAATCAATTCAAGAAGTCAGACCGTACCAGTGCTTTTGAAAGTTTCGATGGGACGATCGACTGTCAGACTTGGATGAACAACTGCTTGCATTTCATGTAAGTAGGCTCGCGCTCGTGAGATCGACATCTGCAACACACGTTTAGCCAGATGCAGGTTCTGTGAGACTGTAAGAGTCACTCATTCTAGCGAGCGAGCTTGAACTCACTTGATAAACAGGGCGCTGATTTATTTCGACGATATGGTCACCAATAAGAAGACGTCCATCCAAGGCAATACGGCCCTCAGCGTCAATTTGACGGATTTCAACTGCTTGAAGGCGCGCGTTATTTGTTGGATCGTATACAGGTGAAATCTACAATAGTGCACAAATATGTCTGGTACTTTCTGACTTGAGTCACAGGGCCGATTTGAAAAACTAAAAACCAAAATTATGAGTCTGCCATTCTAATACTGAAGTTAAAAATAGTCTACAAATCAGAAAAATCAAGAAGCCCATTTCCGAGCCTCACAGTCATGCATTTTTCATCGTTAATCATTCAGAAAGAAAAGAAAAAATTATTTGTTGACCCATTTCTGGTAAGAATGACAGTGCGCGCGAGAAGCTGTAGCCACAATCATTTCTTACCATAGCTGAATCATCCTAGCAGAAGAAAATTAAAATCTTGCTTAGCACTGTGTTATGGAAGATTTTCACGCGGCCGAATTTCAGATACTCCTGGGAACGAGAATTAAAGCCACCGACGCATGTATCAGCGAAGCTTACAAAACTTAAAGCTCCTGTTCAATTCAGTCTTTACAGTTAGCTACAGACAAATGCGCATAAATGAAATATTCCAATATTTCAAAATTCAAAGTTCCTTGATGCCACTATCCTCACACGACAGTTTAAAGTCGTCCAAAAAAAATACTACAACAAAGTCGAATTTTTGGTCAGCTGCCATTTCATCAGAACGCATTTCTCCGCTATCGACACGCCCAATAAATAAATATATGCTTACTATACTCATGGCGGAGTAAAAGGCTGTACCGATGTCTTTCACTACTACCGGTCCGCTGCTCTCTCTGTATTTACAGCTGAGGGTTGATACACTGATTGCTTCCTTCATGTGAGGAAAACAAATTCCAT